AAACAAAAGTTTTGAAAAATAATCAGTGTTACATTTTTTTACTTTCATTTTCTTTTTTTACCTTCATTTTCTTTACTTTTATAGTTTACATTTACATTTCAAAGTTTATTATTAGTTGTTAGAACAAATTTTACTTTGTATAAATTACTATAATTTTTTTTTTGTTAAATTCAACCATATCAATGAAAATTTACAAATCTCATCATAAATTAATAGAATTTGGTTAGGTGTCATATAGTTACAAAATAGTCAATGGAGTGACACCTAAATAAAATTCTCGAAAAAAAAAATAAATAAAAAAAGGAAAAAAAAAAAAAGAATTCATAATCAAAAAGAAGAAAAAAACTGTATATATATATATATATATATATATATATATATATATATATATATATATATATATATATATATATATATATATATAATATATATATATATATATAAAAGAGAGAGAAAATATTGTTAAACAAATAATAATGATATATATAATGATTATAGTAATAATACAAAATAATAACAGTATACAAACTTGATAAAGTATCAATAATATTTATAATATTTATAAAATAGTATAAATTGTATGTACATATCATAGATAATAATTAAATATAATAATAACATTAAAAGTAGCAATAATAACACAATAATAAATAAATATAATATAGATAAATTATAAATAAGGAAAAAATCAAACCACTCGCTCATTAAAGAAATTATATAATAAAGACATACACTCTAACAAAATTTGTTTAAATTTAAATTCTGTTGAGCAGTAAATAATCTGTAACAGGGGGATATTTTTTTTAGACTTTTTTATTAATGCAGGAATACATTGGTTCCAATCCGAAATACATTGTTGTTTTATGGAAAACTTACCATATTTAATTGTGTTGAAAATAGAAGAGTATAGCTTACTATTTTCTGTAATCCTGGTGTTATGAATATGAATTTCATTTGATTTAATAAAAAAAGTTTTAAAAAGAGTTTGGTAGTTTATTTTGGATTATATTATCAATAGTTTTTTAAAGGGAATGAAAAATAATGTATTCAGTTTTATTGACATTCAAGGAAATACGATTACTATTTAACCAATTACATAAGGGATGAAGATCTTGATTAACTTTTTTTCCAAAGAGTCGTAAATGATTTTTTGATATATAAAAGATTGGTATCATCAGCATAATGATGTATGATAAAATTTTTTAATGAACAAAATAAATCATTTATATATAATAAAAACAATAACGATCCAAGAACGGAACCTTGTGGAACGCCATATTTAATAACTTTATGTGTGGATTCAAATCCATTAATTGAGACAAACTGGGTGCGATCCCTAATATATGAAGAAAACCAATGATTAGCAATACCACGTATTCCGTAGTAGTTTAACTTTTTTATTAGAATGTTGTAGTCAATCGTATCAAAAGCTTTTTGAAGATCTAATGAAGACACTACAAGCAAAGGAACCACTGTCAATTGCACCATGAATCATTTCAGTAATGCTAATAAGAGCATGAGAAGTGGAGTGATATGAGCGAAATGAAAAGTTTAAAACAAAAAGTTTAGATGTAGCTTTTGTTTTAACATTAGCTTTTCATAAACAAATTAAAGGGTCAATCTTACATTTTGTTCAGAAAAACAATGACCAAAAAATAAAATAAAAATTTTAATACTTAAACTAAAAGTGATAACTCACTTTAATAACAGCACCATCATCTGTAACACATCGGTAAACTTCAGATACTTCATTGAAATGTTCTAACTTATTTATCTTAGTGCTTGGTTGTATATGTTGCAATCTGACAGTAAGATATCTCAAACAATCTACAATATTATTATTTTCAATCAAAGCATTATGTAAAAAAATAACCCTTAAACCGTTTGGAACCATTAAAAATAAATTCTGCAAAAACATTTGTTCCTGTATAATTTTTTTTATCACTGTTGAATATGAAAACAAGCAGTTATTGTTGAAAAAGTTGTAAATACGAGAATACATAAGTTTTTCTAAAAGTTTGCTGACATTTGATAATATGAAATTGGTCTGTAGTTATTACATTCAAGTTTTGAGTCTTTTTTATGAATTGGAATAATAGAAGCAGTTTTTAAAATATCAGGGAATACACCGATGATGAATGACAGATTAAATAGTTCAGAAAGTAAAGGCGAGATATTATTTGCAAGAGTTTTAAAAATAGGTATTGGAATGCTGTTAGGTCCCAAAGCTTTGCTGTCATTAAGAGAATGAATAATAGATAATACTTTGTTTTTGCCTGTAGGTTTTATGAACATTGATTTAAGATAAGAATTTTTAAGATATTTATTAGTCAGTATTGGATGAGTGTATCTTTTTCTGTAATTCTTTTAAAACTGAAGCAAAGAATGAATTAAAAGATTCTAAAATTTTAATGGGGTCATATAAAATGGAGTTGTTAGAAGATAAGCAGGAAGGATATGAGTTAATTCTCGAACTTATGTTTAAAAGATTCAAAATACCATCCCATATAGGTTTCAAATTTTTGGCAAAGAACTTAGAGTAATTCTTTTTACTACGTCGTCATTCTTTTTACTACGACGGCTGAGAGTAACAAGAAGTTTTATAAAATTTTTCTAGATTCAGTTTGTTATTATGATTCTTTGCTTTAAGAAATTTATTAAATATTTTAAGATTCGTGTTATCCAAGGTTTAAGACCCCTTAATAAGCAGCAATTGCTGACTTTTTTTTAATGGTGCATGTTTATCTAAAAGAGAATTAAAATTTGTGAAAAAATCTGCTAATGACTTAATAGTCTTACCTTCATTGACATTGATTACATTAGTCCAGCTAATTTTTGAGAAATCACTACATAATTCTTTGTAATTTATTTTTTTAAATTTCGACAAAAATTGCTGCTTTTGAGAGGATTAATTTTGGTTCTAAAAAATGGATGTATTAAAAATTGGTGTATATGATCTGATATCGTAGAAGTAAAACTACCGGCAAAAATATTTGTAGAAGTTGCATTAAAAAATATGTTATCAATTAGAGTTTTAGAGTAATTTGTGATTCTTGTTGGCAATGAAATAAAGGGAAGAAAGTTTTTTAAAGCAATGGTGTCTGAAAATTCAGAGACATAATTATCTGAGTTTGCTAATAAAAAATCAATATTAAAATCACCCATTAAAAAAGTAGTTTTGTTTTTTTCCATAGATAGCTTTTCAAAAAGTGGAATTAAATATGATGTAATTAATTCTGGAATATCCATACTAGGATGGCGATAAATACAGCCAATAATGATGTTTGATTTTTTAGGAAATATGATTTCCACAAACACAGATTCTAGAAACTTTGCTTAAAGCATATTAAGATTATTTCGAGGTTTGTAAGTTAATGTATTAGATATATAAAGTAAGGCACCTCCAAAATAAAATTTTGTCGGAGTGTGTTCATAACAGTGTTGGCACCCAAAAACCCAAACCTAAAAACCCACCCAAAAACCCAAGAGCAAAAACCCACTAAAAACTCAACTTAATGGGTTTTTGTATTTATAATATTTTTATTCATAAATTAATTTCCATTCACGCTCAAAATTTGATGCTGCTCAAAAACTGTTATAAAAACAAGAAGTTTAGTGAATCATTAATGAGGTTTTATTTTATTTGCAGTAGAAATATTCAAACTTAAAGGTTTAAAACAAAGTTAAAACAACTTAGTCATCAGCAATTGTTCATCCTGACCTTAATGTATATAAATTCCTACAAGCATTTTTGCTTTTCCTCTTCCTAAATGATTCTAAATTTTCCTAAATATCCTGATTCCTAAATCAGGCTTCATTCAACCATTCCTCAGCTTCTTATTTATGACTTCTATCCAAGGTTCTTTCATTCCTCAGCCATTTCTCAGCTTCTTCTTCTTGACTTCTATCCAAGCTTCCTCAGCCATTTCTCAGCTTCCTCATCTATCCAAGCTTCCTCAGCCATTTCTCAGCTTCTTCTTCTTGACTTCTATCAAAGGTTCTTTCTAAATAAAAAGGTACAATTATAAGAGTAGTAAACTTAAAAGAAATTTTTTTATCAGTATTTATTTTAATTTGATCAGATGCAAGTTTTTAATTTTTTTACAATTTTATGGTTACCTTTACATTTTGGATCTGTTAAATTGCCCAGAAAATGATTTGGAACAATTGTTTTCTTAAACCTCTGTAAAATATCATCTTTGTATTGTCTTGGATACTATAAGCAATTATAAAATCATTACTAAATGTACTCTAATCATCTTGAATTAGAATAACAGCACAATCATTATCAAGATCACATTTCATCATATTGATTATTTCTTTGTTTACCTTTAATAAGAGTTCTGAAGATATCTGTTTTCTATTTTATAGGTAGTCAAGTCAAGTTTTTCTACTATGTTGAATAGTATATTTTTTGAAAAAAAGAAACCTTTTAACCTGCAAATCCAGTTCATTCTTCTGATTACTTGTTGTTGAAGTAACAAATTTAGAAATGGGTGTTTCTAAATTTGTTACTTCAACAACAAGTAGTTAAATGAGCAATTGACGAAGATTGTTCAACATTGCAGTTAAATGAACAATTGTGAAGATTTACTAATAAAGCTTAAGTAATCTTGATCATTATCTTCTGAGTGGTTAGACTTGTTTGATACTGCAGATGTAGATGGTCTTGACTCTAAAACTGATGTATTGCTAAATACTTCTGTGGAATTCTTAGCGTTTCCTTTTTTCTTTCTTCTGAATTTATTAAAATGAATCTCACTACTTTTTTAATTATGCTCTCTTTGCAATAAATTACTGTAAATTATATAAATTAAAATATAAATTAAATTACTGTACTTGGTTAATCACTTAATATGATCATTAAATATTATATATATTATATATTTAGACATACTACAAATGTTTGATAGAGTTAATTCAAAATACACATGACATATACATATGTTTGATAGAGTTAATGCAAAATAAATTAATTTTGTCAAGTTTTATGAATTTAGGCTTTGAATCTTGAGTCAATGACAACTTCATATTCAACAAAGAAAAATAAAGGAATAGAACTTCAGTCAGCAATTGATATTTTGATTCAAGACAAAGATTTAAAAATAAAAGATATTTCACGGCTACAAGCTCAGCTACAGGTTAGTCAAAAGCTCAGCTACAGGTTAAAAGATTTTTTTACTTAAGCTATTGCAATACTAAAATATTAAAAATTTTTGTATAAATATAAAATAAATTATAAAAATTTTGTATAAAATTTTTGTTATAAGTTTACAAAATTTAGCTATCAAAGAAAGAGTTGTCATCACTAATTGATGAGCGAGAACGGTTTTCCTTAGAGCTGCATAATAAAGACTCAACACAAACAAGTATGGTTTTTAACTTTTTTGACTTTCCATTTTTTCATCAATTTTTCGACTATAATAATAATATTTTTTATTTGCATTTTTTTTTTTATTTTAATGTTGTAGCTGAAGCTGTAAGTGCAATACACTCTAGTATCCAGCAAATGAAGATGGGAATAAGCCGTCTTCGTAAAAGACTTCTATCTATTGAAGCTGAGACTGCTACAGTTTTAAAAGAAGCAAATCAAATAAACGAGAAGCAAAAGGTTTTAGTAATGAATTTTTTATATATAACTGTTATACTATGCAACTTCTGAATCTTGCATTTTTATGCAGCTCCTGCATCTCTTTTTTCAGGCTTTGTAGTTCTTTTATTTTTATGACTCTTTGATTTCAAATAAATCTTTATAATGTATTTTAACAATTTTCTTGATCAATCCATGCCTACATTACTAATTTTGTTTTTTACATATGTTACAGAGCTTATGAAAGTTCAACAAATCTAAATGTTTGAGTAAAAAAAATGAATACTTGCTTAAGTATTTTTTTTTTTTTTTTTTTTGATTAAAATATGCATTCAATTTAATTTTAAAACAGGCAATTTAATTGCTTGCAACAGTCTAATTTTTTCAAGCAATTAATCTTAAATAAAATTATGTTTAAATCTCATAAAATAATTGAGGTGACATCCACATTTTGACCAAAATAACTTTTAGATTCATTTAAATCTGAAATAAATTTTACATTTGTTTATATTTTTAATTACATCATCAAACTTTATGCTTT